GCCTTAATAAGGATGTATATGTAAGTCACTAGTTATAAAACGTTTTAAAAGAATCAACCTACACTTCACAGACTACATATATAAACACACACACACACACACACACACACACACACACACACACACACACACACACACACACACACACACACACACGTATGTATATATGTACATACATCTACGTCTCTATATATCTAAATTTATACATATATAAGCATACATACATACATAAACACAAAAGCTTACACATATATAATTATGTGTATATGTAATTATATACACACACACACATATTTACATATATATACATGCATGTGGCTTTCCTTTTTCTTTAATGACCGCATATCGCTGCCAACCACTCATTTTAGTTTTATGAAAAAAAAAATAAATAAATAAAAAATAAAATAGTACCGGTGATGCGCTTCGACTTTGGTGCTTCATGTTCAGGCTTCACTAGACTCAAGGTCAGAGACACGGCTCGTTTCCCTAGACTTTTCTTCTGCCTTTGATGTCAACCACAAAGCTCTTCTTTTAAAACTCAAGTCTGTAGGAATGAGAGGCCCTTTTTATAATATTTTATCTGACTTTTTATTAGACATTTAACAATGCGTTGCTATTGATGAGCATTTGAATGTTTTTAATTATGTCAAGTGAGGGATTCCCCAGGGCAGTCGTCTTGGGCCACTTTTAATAATCTTTCATTCCACTGACATATGGCATGGGATTTCTTACAATCTCATGGCTTATGCTAATGACACTTCCTTATTTTACCGTATTCCTGACCCTCGAAGTGGATCAGATGCAGCCAATCAATTGAATGTTGATTTAGAGCTGATCTCTTCTTGGCGCAAGCATTGGGGAATGAAATTAAACCTGCTAAAACCAATAGTATATTTTTTAGCCGTTCCAGAACCAACACATCCTACTTTTATTACTGACGGCCAAGTCATCAAACTCAGTAAGTACATTAAAATTGCATGGTGTAATTTTAGATTCTAAATTGACTTTTGAGGATCATATCAGAGCAACTTCCTCTCTTATTTCCCGAAAGGATGGATTACTGATTATTTTCAATGACAGTAAGATAGTTTTAAACATATTTTTCTCCTTTATTTTGCCTTTTTTTAATTTCTGTCCAGTTTGGATGTCTGCTTCTCAGACGCATTTATAACTTTTGAACCCTCCTTTCATCCTATCAATGTTCTATAATCTAACCTTAATATACGACTTGACCATCGTCGAATAGTTGGGTGTGTGACTTTATTTCCTTATGATTGTTAACAATATTGAACACCTTCATAGTACGTCGCCTGCTCAATATGTGCCTGTTCGCCTAACGCGAGCGCATTTCAGACAATCTTTTCCTAAACTAACCTATCTTCCCGGATATTTATCTCTTCTGTGGGATTTACTTCCTAACGATATTATGTATGACGTTGCTATTAATAAATCTAAAACTAGAATTAACAAATTCCCATTGTTATTCCGATTTTAAATACTGTATCCTTCCTTTTCACTTTTTTCATATTCACGTTTGCTCGTCAATGGGACTCTGCTTGGGTTTTATCAGTCCTTGATTTCCCCTGATGCCCTTTCATGGATTCTCATGATGATAATTATAATAATAATAATAATGATGAATGTGGAAAACACTCTACCGTGTTGATACTATGGTAGAAAAACCCACAATGTAAAAACTAGATTTATTAAAAATTAAAATGAGACTACAGTTTCGGAATCCACCTGGATTCCATCCATTTTTAATGCTTGTTCTGAGGTCTGAAATCCATCATCTAACTCTTTCTTAACCGTTGGCTTCATTCGATTAAGCATCTACGGGTGTTCCCTTTCTTTGGGAATTGATTCTCCCCATTTCCTTGGCCAATGTCAGGTTGCAGATCTTAAGCAACATATCGATCATTTTGTCACCTCCAGATTTAATGAAGAAACTCAGCAGCGATATTGTCTACTCCAGGTGATTTGTTATATTTCAGCTTTTTTAATGCTTGTTCTATTTCAGCTCGAATTATCGGTGACTCCTGTAGTGGTCGCCTGAAGTGTCCGCCTGGTGGTTGTAAAGCTCTTCACAATACTGTCTCCGTCTTACAATGACATCCTCTATTTCGGTTAGCAGTTTCCCTTGTTGATAACAATCCTCAGAGACCGAACTCGGTACATTTTAGTAAACTTGTCATCGCTGAATCGATGTTGTTTGAGCTCCCTCCCTTTCGTCGCATTTGTAGAGAATTTCAGCCGTAATCCAGGGTTTTTTTTCTTCCTTTTCCTTCCAAGATGTTTAATTTCAGACTTTTCTAATTACAATACGAGGTCATCAGGAGTAACATTTTCGAGATGAAGAGGCCCGAATCTTCCCCGAATTGTTGCTTGAAAGTCACTTAGCACTTACAGGTCCTTCAATTTTTCAAAATCGTAATTTATTCGTGACATTTGGTTTTTCCTTAGTACTCGAAGTTTCAACTTCATCGTCATCATTAGAAGC